TACAAATCCTAATAATAATTTAAATAATGGAGAGTTAATTGTATGTCGTCGTCCAAGAGAACAACTGAATAAACAAGCAACTGATTTTATTCCGTGTGCAAAATGCAAAGGTTTTTTTACCAAGAATAATATCAGGCATCATTTCAAGTCATGTGCACAGAATATAGAAAATCGTCAAAGAAATGTAAAAATATTAGGGCGTACTGTAGCCTGTCGTATACATAATAGCGCATCTACAATACTAAGAAGATTAGTATTTCCAGTGATGAGAGAAGATAGCATAACACAACTTATTAGATATGACGAATTGCTTATTGCTTATGCTAATAAAATGTGCATGAAGTATCGTCTTCAACATCAGCACGACATGATTAGAGCACGATTAAGATTACTTGGACGGCTCCTTGCTGCTATGAAAGAAATTGATGATAATGTAGGAGATTTTACCTCAATATATGATCCAAGAAAATATGATCTATGTGTTAAAGCTGTACATAATCTCGCAGAATTTGATGAAACATCTTGGGCATACAAAAGACCTTCTATCGCATCATCTTTGGGATATCTCATAAGGCATGTTGGAGAAATTTTAAGAAGCATGTATATTAAAAAACAAGATGTTGACAATCAAATCGTCGTAGACAATTTTTTGAAATTATTTAAAGAAGACTATCCTGTTAGTGTAAATAAAGTTGTGCATGAAACTCAAGGACGTCGAATAAGACAAAAAAAAATAGTTTTACCATCTATGGATGACATTAAAATACTTAATACTTATCTGAAAAAAGAACGCACAGAAGCTTTAAAAAGTTTACAAGAAGACGGATTCTCTAATCAAGCCTGGCGTGTATTATCTGAAACAACGTTAGTGTCTACTATGATGTTTAATAGAAGACGTGCTGGTGAATTGGAACGCATGTTAATCGAAGACCTGAATGTTTCTACTACAATTTCCAAAGAAGAAGCTCCTGAATTGTACAAATCTTTATCCAAGTATGTGCGGATAACTATACGTGGGAAATTGGCAAGAACAGTTCCTGTTTTACTCCATAAAGAAATATTGGAATGTATGAAGATGATTATTCATTATCGTAAAAATGCTAATGTTCCTGAAATGAATCCTTACATATTTGGCATAAATTCAGTAGACAAGAAAAGATATTCGTATTTAAGAGCATGTGCCTTAATGAGAAAATATTCGGTAGCATCTGGAGCAAAAATGCCAACATCATTACGTGGTACAATATTGAGAAAGCACATTGCTACAGTATGCATTACTTTGGATATGTCTGAAAATCAAGTTAATGAGCTGGCGGACTTTATGGGTCATCACGAAAAGATACACAAGTCGCATTATAGACAATCTATTGTAACAAAAGATTTAGCTATTTCACGATTGTTAAAATTTGCTCAAGGAGAAAATGAAACGGATGAAAGTGACGAAATTGACAATGAAAATGAGGATGATGAAAGTATTGATTATAATAATGAAAGTGAAGAAAATACGTGTTTAAATTCTCCATCAACGTCAACAAATACTGATCAAATGCCTAAAGAACATGATACAGATAATAACAAAAGTATGTCATTACAAGAATATTTGTATTTAATGTTGATACATATTTTTTAAAAATTATATCTAGGATGAGACATATAAAAAGCACAATAATTATTTTGTTATTTCTATAAATGCCGATTTTAAAAAAACAATAACGAACTAGTAAAATAAGATGTACTGATAATGATATAATTTCTATATTATAATATATAAAATACATGTCTTGTTTTTTTGTGTATTGTACTTGCAATTGTGATATTAACACACTACATTAATACAATAATTTTATTATTATTTTAGTATCTGCCGTTGTTTCTAAAGGAAAACGAACTACTAAAATCATACGTACTAATGAGTGCATGTCTGAAGATGATTCAAATAACAGTATAGAAATAGGAAAAAGAAAGAGAAGTATGTTCAAATAATTTCTATATTATGATATAGAAATACCTTGCTTTTGTATACCGTACTTGTAATATATACTGCACTAACATGATAATTTTATTATTATTTTAGTATCTTGTGTTGGTTCTAAAGGAAAACGAGCTACTAAAATTAATTGTATTAATGATGAACGCATGTCTGAAGACGATATTGATAACAATGTAGAAATGGGAAAAAGAAAAAAAAGTATGTTTAAATATTTCTTATGTATATTCATATATATGTATTATACCTTACTACTAAATTAAAGCGTAATAATTTTATCCTTTCAGTAGATCAGTTTGATTCTAAAAGAAGACCAATTACTAAAGTCAG